TTGTTCAGTTATGTTCTCAGTACTCAGCACACATTATGACACTTAATAAGTACTCAATAAATACCTGTTGAATAAATGATTGAGTAAATGAATATATTACTTTGAGTTTATGGAATTACTTCGGAAATGAAAGACGGCTCACCATGTTATTTTAAGGATGCCAAGTTTGACTTTAGAATTAATATTTCATTATTGGTCCTTGATTATCCATAAGAATTCAAAAGTTAGCTAACTATCCTCTATTTTAAAATCCTGATTTTTAGAATAATTTAAAAAATAATGTTAGTTGTAGGAGGATACAAAAAAAATGATAAAAAATGCAACATAACTTTCCAAATTTAATGGTCTCAACTTTTCAATAGTGTATTCATAGAACATATTATCTGCATTATAATATGTTATAAAATATGTTATCTGCATATATAAATATTATAAAAGATCAGAAGCTTCAAATTTCAATCGTGATATGATAAAATCTTGGTGTGGAAGGGAGTGCTAAGGGAGTGACCATTTTCATGTTGTACGACAAACGTTAAAGCAAACAAATAAACAAAAAAGGCTAATTATATAAAACTGCATACTTTATAGACAATGATCACTCATTAAATAAAAATTATACAACCTGACTTTGTAGCTCAGCCATTAAAGGATGACATTATAAGAACACAGGTAATATGAAAACTTGTTTCTTATTCTGTGAAAATATGAAAGTTGGATAATAAGAAGCTGACTACCTTGGACAGTCAATATCCCTGAATTCAATGGGTCCATGTAGTACTGAGAGATAGAAATTAGACAGCTTTATTTCTAGAATGCAAGAACGTACTTCATAGGTTCTACTGTGATGGGTTTATCTAAATAAAATATTTTTAAAAGATGCTAGGGTAAGATTGACTGAATAGTAATAAGCTGACAAATTCTACAAGATTCTTTATATACAAGATGAGTACTGTTGTTTATTTGAACAGGAGTGGCTTGCTTGAAGATGCTACTATCACTAGCCCAGCTGACCTGAAAATGACTGACTGATCCATGAAAGAAGCAGAGGTACATAATTTATAAGGCTATCCATCAAACCCATAGAAATGGCCATGCAGAGATCATCATCTACTTAACCTCCCACCCGACAAGCTGTAAATGAAAACAGTCTCTGTGAAACCACCTCATTAATACATTTCAACTATGACAAAGGTACAAAAATTGTGCTTTGCATGGTGATCTGCATAAGGCTGATGGAGAAAAAACAAACCTATCAAAACATGTAGTCATATTCAATATATATCAACATGCCTATAAGAAATATATAGAAAAGGCATAAAGTACCGTTCATTGAGTTGTTGCTTACATGTTTTTATGCCACATATTTAGAGAAATTATTTTCCTACCTTTGTTTCATCAAGAAACTGCATTCTTATAAAACTAAAACTATTTATTTTAAAGTTTAGATTTAGATTTAAAGTAGATTAGGGAGCTAACTACATTTAGATAGTTTCAAATTAATACACTTAATAAGATTGTCTGACCTCTACCTTGAGTTAAATTAGCCAAGCTCACTATCTATAGTGAATTCAGGATTGCGTGTATTCTTTCCAATAGAACAAATTGGTTTTAGGTAAAAGGATTAACTTTATTGCTTTCTGTCAAGCTCCCCTATCTTCAGCTATCTTCTCTATGTCATTAGGCACAGGTTTGCCTTGTGGAACTAGGCCAAGGAGTTGAGCCTCTTTGCAAATAAAAAACTGGACAGTAACAGGAGAGAGAACAGATATAAGCACAAAACCTATACATGCGGAAGAGCTATAAATGTTCAAATTGGGGCAAATAAGAAAGCTTCCTAACTTGGAAAGTTTTTGAATTCCAAAGACATATACATCTTTTATTATACATTTCCTCTCCTAATTCTTAGTGATGGCACAAACTTTAAAACAATAAGAATAAAGCTTTTAAAATGAAATCATTTACATGTAATCTAACCATTCCAAATTTTGTGACTATAGAGCCCATGCAGGCGGATTAAGGTTACATCTACAAATTTACTCTCATCTTCATTAATGAGCAGTGTGTGACTATTTTTCTCATTACGTACAGACCACATATCTACATTGCAAAACATGGCCCCTACAGAAAGTATCACCATTGTCCTGTCCTCGTCAATGATTTCCTGTCCATTCAAATATCCTAGGATTATCCATTTAATCCTGGGAACAACATGCACGTGGCTTCAAGTTCCCTAACAGAGTGCATTTATAGATTCTCAAGCAGATACCAAAGGTCTTTAGCATGTCATCTTGATAATTTCTAAGAAGTTTTAACACAACAAGATTTTCCTAGTCATTTTATAAAGTAGGAACACTAACAATCCAGTCAAACCCTCCAGTTTAACATGAGGAGAGAAAGAACCTCTCCTCACTGCCTGTATCTGAGAAGATTATACACTGAAATGAGGTTTTTAGGGGGATTGTGTTAAAATATTGAGTGATACATTTTTCATACAAAGACAGTTCAACTGCAGTGCATCTCAATTGCCCGATTCATCTCCTCCTCCAATTTGAATGCACTGATGCCATCTCTGACAAATGGACGGCAAATACCTTCCTTCCACCTGCTTCTTATCTTGGTGAGGATATCCTTCTTGCTTCCAACGAAAGTCACTTCATAACTCCACTGTTTGAATTTTTTCCAAGTTATCTGACGCTGAGATAGGATAATTTTGTAGCAGGTTAACACTTCCCTTAATAAACAAAAGATTTTCTTCAAATGACACTGTGATTTGGGGGCTATTTTTGTACTTTCTGCAATTTTTTTGGTTACGTGTCTTTACTAGTCCTTAATTTTCACAACCTCTAGGGCAGTTTCAGTTCAGTTCAAAAGAATAAGACATCTTTATATCAGTTTTATGAATTACCCAGTATAGTAGAAGTCAATTAAGGTTAGACATAGAAATATGTGCAACCAGATATTATAAAGAAGCAGAAATGATGAAAATAAGTAAGTTTTCATATTTTTCAGATTGGTTTAACCTCAGTGACCCCAGCAAAGTAGAGGCTATAACTACTCTTTTTGTTTCTACGTTGAGGAATGCTTTGAATGAAACCATGTATTATATAATTTCTATGTCAAACTATATCAATAATGACCCCTTTTTATTAAATTTTCTTTTTAGTTTTAATAAAATATCTTGGAAATAATCTATATTCCCTGTGATTCTAAGAAGAAACAGATTCTTTTAAGTATCAATATTTTCCAGAATATAAGAAGCAAACCCCACATTTAATTAAGGAGAATACTAAGACATGGGATATTTATAAAGAGAACTGATTTTAAATATACATAATATTACTCTATTTTAACAGGTCTCACAAAAAACTAAAATGATACACTTGTAAATTGGCACTAGATTGATTTTATTCAACTTACTCTTTCAAATTATTTATGTATAAATATAAAAATAATATGACATCCAGATATTTCCCAAAGGCCAAAAATATTTCCTTCTCTTGGATGTGCAAAACTGATGAATGCAAGAATAATACAAGATTTTTGGAATTATAGGTGCAAATTTGTTAGAATATATATTGTTTTTTGCTTAAAAAGTTTTCTTACAGCTCATATTTTTAATAACATCTTTCTATGACAAAGTATCTTTCTATGACTATAGTATTATAGAATGTTATAGTTGTTCTGAAAAGGGCAAACTGAGGACTCCTTCCCTAACTTTGGTTGATTTTTTCTTAACTTCTTGGGATTTCTTGAACAGAATCATGAAACAGAAAAAAATTCTGTTGCTAAAGGAAGAGCAACACTGAATTTTTGTTCCAATGGTGAGCAGGAGTCTGATAGCTTCACATTTTCGTAAGATCTTTCTTTAAACCTGCCTGAAAATATATTTTCTTCGAAGGAAGGAGGGATACCACAAATCAGTGGCAGGAAATATCAGAGACAAGAAAGAGTGTGGCAGAAAAGAATATTGAATATTAAAGAATATAAAATTTAAAGAATATTAAAAGGAAAGGCTTTCTTGGGATATTGAAAGGGCACTCACTACAAGTTTTTCCATGTACAAAGCAAATTATTACTTTCCTCTTTCTCTCAAGGATGGGCGTTTATCACGTCAATGACACACACACACAAAAGTCAACCTACCCAATGGGTAGATCAATACCGCAAGGGAAATATTAAATGATATTTGTATTATCTCCTTCCAGGCTAATTGATTTGTCTAAACATACAGTGTAAAAGCAAGTCAGAACTCAAAGCTCCCTGGTTGGAAAAGATGTGACGGTTTGCTCTGGAGCTGGAATTAAGAGTTAATAGGCAGAGCTTTATCAATAACTCTATTCAATACAATTAATCTTAAATAGGGTTTTAGTACAATAACTATTAATCAGAACCATATATAACTGTCTACTTATTGCCAACATGAGTATCTTCCCTTTGCAATGTTTACGCAATAGCTGCCAGCGAAGAACTGGGTAAACTGTGCTGTCATTTTTAAGTGAACTCGGGGAAATGGCAGAAGATATAACAGGAAATCCTTGGGGAAGAAGGAAGAAGATAAAACTGGAATCACTAAAATATGGTCAGATGAGCTCACAGTCAGGATCTAAAATAGAACACTCAAATTTATATCGGAAATGTAATTTTAATCTCAAGTTAAAATCTACAAGGCAATAGAAATATGTACAGAAAAGATCTGTTAAGCAATCAAAAGAGAGATTCTCCTATACACGGTCAAGTCAATTTTTATCTACTAATAACCAGAAGACATGGGCATGCCATGTGATTTTCATTATATCGCTATTTTATAAGCTAGCTTTCTCATATAAGGGCCAGGCTCTTGGCAATGAATCCTAACCAGCAACTCTTTACGACCTCCACCTCCCTTTAAGAGGAACTTAAAGGACGGACTGTTAGCTTATATATATATTATGAGGAAGACATCATAATAATTAGTGGGATTTTTACACCTGGCAGCAAATATGTATTCATATGACACTTACCTGCCCCCCTTTAGGCTGGTATTTGATGTTGTCCGTTGATCCGATTTTGGATTTGACATTCTTCAGGTCTGGCAGTGGTTGGTTAATAAGCCGGAGCTGCTTGGGAGTAGCAGGAGATTTTGGAGGAGTGCGTATGATGGCGACTTTCTTCTCACTGGGCACCAAGATGGCAGATTTGGGGGTTCCCGGTGTGTGAGGGGTCCTGGGATAGCTAGGGGTTCCAGGAGTGCCTGGTGTGCGTGAAGAATAGCTTGGTGGGGTGCCAGGAGTGATGGCAGTTGATCCAGGGGTAGTGGGTGTTGAGGTGCCACTTTTTCCTGCTCTGCGAATTGGCTCTGACCCTGCATTAACAAATAAAACAAAACCCAAACCACAGCATCGGAAAGTGGTCCTCAAGGGGTCCTTCTCCCCATAACTGTTAGAACTCACAATACATTAAATTTCTAGTGTTTCGAATATTTACGAATTACAATAATGCTCTAAATGATGAGAACCTCCTTTTAAGTGACATTTTTCTTAAACATACACTGCTATCAATGCAAGAGGAATACGGGTTTTCCTGGTTTGCTATTCTTGATTCTTATTATGAATGTGTCCAAAACTATTACTTCTGTGATCATTAAGGCATACAGATATGCCTGTATTTGCAAAAAGAATCTGCACTTAATGTCCTAGGTGGGCTCATATCTACTAAAGATTCTCTGTGTGATATGCAGAACATTCATTCTTCTGGGTAGTAAGTTCATTCTGACACCCAGGTTGACATACAACATACAACTGTGTATTTAGAGCACATAATTTTGGCCCATGTAGAAAGTTATTTATTCAATTCTGTTTCAGTGTTACCTCCTTAGCTTATATGGAGGAGAGCTGTGGGTTGCAAATGTGTTCATTGGAAGCTGTTCCATTAGGTCAGGTATCGTTCTGCACTACCACATATTTCATTTATAGGGGAATTTGTCTCAGCTCTTAACCAAAAAGCCCATTTCTCTCCCTAGAAAACCAGGATGTTTTAACAATATATTCACAGTGAATCTTGTACCTGATTGTTTTTTCTCTTCTGCTTTCATTAGTTTGATAGTTTAGAGTAAAATTAATATAATAGCCCCTCTCTGTCAATTATATAGGATATTGCAAAATACATTTTTTTTTTGGCCTCAACTTGACCTTAGCCTCATTTTGCCATTGAACCCCTTTCCCTCCATTTTCCTATACTAGGTTTCTTCTAAATTATCTTTTAAAAGTGTTTTTGAATGCTATTTCAAATGCTTTTATGAAATAATAATAATATAAATAAAAGTACAACTTACTGATTTCAAAGCACTTTTGTAAATACCAAACATCTGACAACCAAAAAAGCACGATTGTTACAGGCAGCTCTTTTCATCCCTAATTTGAAAATGAGGCTGTTGAGGCTCATTTACCCAGATGATATTAAATTCTAAGCCAAATACAATATTTAGCTTCTAAATATTTGTTTAACTTTCCTTTAACATAAAAACACTTTCTCTTGGAATAATACATTGACTCTAATCATAGAACACTTATTTACATTACACATTTATTATACAAATTCTTTTACTTTTTTTGCACTTTATAGGAAGGGCATGATTTTTATTTTTTACTACTGAGCACGTGTACTTTGTAAAAAAATCAGTGAATTTTCTAGAAATATAGGGGATAAAGGTATAACTCATAAATTTTAAAACCAATGAAGTGGAAAGAATCTTACTCATCTAATGCAACAGATCATCAGTACAGGGAGTTCAGTACAGTGACAAGAAGGACAATTAATCTTTGCTTAAATATTTATAAATAGTGAGCTCAAGAGAGCTTCTTAGGTAATTGCAATGTACAGACAAGGCAAATCTAACCATTGGTCTAGGTTCAATCTTCTGGAGGAACACAAAACAAATTTACTTTATCTTTCAGTCAACCATTTTCCCGTATCAAGTGAAAGTTGCCCTCGATCTTTTGGTATTGTAACATAAGGGCAAAAACATAGGTAAATTCTTCAACTGACAACATGAAATGGGATGCGAGAAGACTGAAGTGATAAATCAGTGTGCACTTTCATTGCTTTCCACAAAAATGGTATTGTTAAGATCAGGATGATACAACCACATCCAACTTGCTTTTTGTACCTTCTTTGCTACAAAGTTTGTTTATGGCAAGTTTTTGATGCAGGCTTAAGTCAGTTACTATGTCCTTCTGAAAAATCTCTTCAGAAACCTTATTTCTTCCTTAAATGTTTTCTCTAGGACTTCATAACCTCTGAACAGCTCAGGTCTGTTGGTGAGGTGACTTCTCTGTATTATTTGCCACTATACCTACCACTGGTGCCTTTCATGGGACCTGAACATAGTAGGTGCTCAATTTATCAGTGTGCCGATGTGGGCTTTTTTTGTTTGTTCGTTTGTTTTTTACTTTATGGAGACTAAACTTAAGCAATATTCTAAATGTGCATAACAATTTTCACTAAAAGAACAAAAATTTAAAGTAAGGCTTGTTTCTATACTCTTAGAAAATAGCTTTAAGCTTTGGAAAACTAAAGAGTGAAGGTTTTGTGTTATATTTGGAGAATGAGGAAAAATCACTAAAGACACTAAAACATTTTTTTTTTAAATTACAAGTTATTTAATTAAACTGTGCTTATTTATCTTGTCAACTCCTCAATGACAATGTTTTTCCCTTCTCTTGGGCTAAATGAGCTTACTGCATAGCATTGTTTCTTTTAAATCTTTTCAGTAGCTGTACAAAATGCCAGAACAGTCTTGTGTGCAGTTAAGATAGGCAAATTGCATTCTCTTCTAATTGTTCCTGTGCCTTTTAGCTAGAGATACTTATTTTAGTAGAGATAAACCCTGTATTCTTAGGTTATCAGAATATCAGTTATGTTCACTGCCAAATAAAACAATGCAACATGCTTATGAATGTAAGTCAAGTTAGAAAGTCAAAGTATTATTGGCGTAGAACATAAAAAGCCATTTATACACAGATATATTTTAAGTGGGTTTCTTTAATTGGGGAATTGGGGGAGGGGAATAAACAAGTTTCTGTCCTCTTTTGTTGTTGTTGTTGTTCTGTCTAGTTTACACAGATACATTTTAAAGGGCAGAGCACAGTGGCTTGAAGATGTGGCTTTATGGAGGAGGTATCATTTTGCTTCCATAGCGAGGTGTGCCTTTGGAGAGCATTTGATGCCTTCGTATTGTCTAAAGAGCCCTATTTCAACTCCAGATATTTGGAGTTAAGGTCTTTCCTTTGGAGATTACTAACTTTTAAATGCCTTCTTTGCAAGTTTCACGTTAATATTTTATTTTTGCTAAGGCAAATAACAGTTTTAGTGATTTCAACATGTTCCTAGCACATATTTAAAAGTATGTTAATACTTCACAAAACTAAATGATGTAGAGCACAATTGCTTTAATTATAATAAACACTTTCATCATAGACAAAAAAAAAACCCCACTGTTTAAGTGTCATGAAAAATACCTACATTTGGGGCCGGCCGAGTGGCGCGATGGTTAAGAACTCGCTTGGGATGCCAGAGG